CAGATAGGTATTTTATATCTATGTCGTGCACTTGAAGAACTGTAGAGAGATATTGTCGAAATATTCCCACATCGAAATCTAATTTGATGTAGCCGTAATTATATGACATAATTTTACATTCCCAAATAGGATAGGGCCCTTCCTGGAGGCAGAAGGTGACAATACCTTGTTGAATTTGTTGTAATCATTGTACATTTTATTGTGCTTGCAGACAATATGGATAGACAATGGATACAAAATCCGAACAGATGTGTAGATGAATATTTGGATGAGATAAAATGATTTTATTGAGTTTGTAATTACATATAACTGAGGTGCAACTAGAATTCGGTGTTCGTGTAGGAGGTGTAACAACACTTTAAGGAGACATTTGAAAATGTTCAGTTTCATTTTGTAAGAAATGGGATGATAGAGACCTATACTACATAGAATCATCATGGGGAACAATTAGACCATGCTTTGTAACAACCCGTCCCAAATTTTATGATTTTATTAATTTTAAAAGAGTGAATTGATGAAAATGCCCCTAAAGGCGAGTTGTTGACTTTCGTTGACCGTACATTTTGTGACGTGTGTGAACTACTATTTTAGTGTATTTGTGTAGTATTTGACATTACGAATGCCTGGGCGCAAGCGAAATCGAATTCGAAGCTACGATGGAGATTTTATGGAACTACGAACATGAAGGTACTTTAATAATTTATGGAAGGATATTTTATTATTTAATAATTTTCCAGGCCCGTGGGGCTCACACCTCACCTAAGCTTTCCTCTCCATCTCTGCCACGTGTCTTTTTCTTTCCAAACTCTTGGGACTTTCCAGAACTCTCCTCCTTCAGCTTTTATCCATTTTTTTCTCTTTCATTGCAAACACAGAGAAGCCGACGACCACCACTCTCCGCTTCGGCGAGCTCCACCAACACCATCATCACAACTTCACCATCTCCATGAGTTCTACGAAACCCAGAAACTGGAAAAACCCAAACTCCCTCAATCTACCTCACTACACCGAGACTACCCAACCTTTCCATCTCTACCATGTGTCTTTTTCTTTCCAAACTCTTGGGACTCTCCGAAACTCTCCTCCTTCAGCTTTTATCCATTTTTTTCTCTTTCATTGCAAACTTAGTGAAGTCGACGACCACCATTCGCCGCTTCAGCGAGCTCCACCAACACCATGATCACAACTTCATAATCTCCATGAGTTCTACGAAACCCAGAAATGGGAAAAACCCAAACTCCCTCAATCTACCTCACTACACCGAGACTACCCAATAATCCTCTCTAGTGAGTTTGGCTTCGAAATCAACGAAATCGAGGTAAACTTCAATATAAATCTTATTATAGACTCTAGTGACTTTGGCTAACTATCTGGGTTGTTTTCAAACTAAAAATCGACGGATTTAACCTTACCTTTCATTTCCCGGGTTTGGCTTCAAATCAGACTTATTCTAGTCTCTAGTGACTTTCGCTAACTATCTGGGTTGTTTCCGAACTAAAAATTGACCGATTTAACCCTACCTTTCATTTTCCAGTTTTTCCTTTAAGAACCGTAGGTTTCAGACCATTTTTTCGGTCAGCTCTGGCCATGACGAGAGACCACAACGGTATAATCTCATTCCTTATCTCCCTAGCTTCAATTTGTCTATTTATATGCTAATTTTAGTTGAGATTCGAAGCTAAACAGGGCTCGAAAATTTTTCCGGCCAAAAAGCGTAGTCACGGCTTTCTCCTTCACTAGGTCAGGTGGGTGCAACCCGCGAGCCTAAACGGGTCAATCCAACCTGGAACGGAAAAAAAAAAAATTCCAAAACCCTGATCCAAACCCGGGATCTGGCCCGGCACATTTCCAAAATGGATCTAGAATATTCTTGGAATATTTCCTGGAATATTCTTTAGAATATTACTTGTGTTGACTTTTACGAAATTTTCTCGGAAACCCTTCTAAGCTAATTTCGACGGCCGTAGTTATATTTACAACTATGAATAGTATTATATTGACGTGAGTTATCGATCTACCGTTGCATGATTTTATTTACGTTATCTGCTTATCATATGCTACACTAGTGTTAGTCCTTGCCCGAGCCAGGGCCATGCTTTATGTGTATGTTCATATCACACTGCATGCTCACTTTGGATGCATTGTAGGTGCCAGTCCTATCCTAGATTGCTATAGGCAATTAGGACTCATATGTGATGCGCATAGTGCCAGTCTTCACGTAATTTTAGTTCTAGAGCGTAAATCATGATTACACCCAATCCTGTTCATGTCAGAATATCTCTGCATGAGTTCGTGTGTCAGCATATATCGAAGAATACCTAATATTATGTGTTTGTTATGCGAGATATTATGATCATCCGATGTTATACGTTTTATATGTGAAATATTGTGATTTACCGTATTTTTAAAATATTACTGATTATGGTAAGTGTTTTCATACTATACGTAGTATGCTATGTTTGGAAACTATACTTGTTTTACGGCGATGTGTTATTACATTTTTGAAAAAGGTTTTATAAAGCTTTATTTTTAGGACCCACTCACCCTTGTTTTTTGCCCTTCCAGGTCTTAGTTGTAGTGCTTTCTTGTCGACGAGGATTCTTAGCAAATCTTGGTGTAAGAGAGTACCTTCGATGGTATAATTCTTATCCTACTTTTAATGTACTTTACTTATGCTCTGACATCACGTGTGAATTAGGTTCAATCCCGCTCACATGTGCACTCTTACATTTAGGCACTTTTGGGCTTAAATTTACTCACATTTTCCACATCACTACACTTTATGGCTTCATCACATTTCTGGTGTCAGCCAGCACAGCTCGATTCGGAGTCCATGTGGACATTCCAGGTCTAGGTGTGTTATGTTTCATCTTCAAACATGACAAGAGTGGACATTGTTGAACCTAATGTGGATCATAACGAACAAGTTATGAGTATTCTAAATGATGTTTTTCCATTAGCCTCAACAAACATTAATCAAGAAGGGGAAGATGACGTGACTCCACCCATGGACAATGAAGATTTCGAACAATATTAAAAACTATTAAAAAGTGCCAACCAAGAATTATACCTAGGGTGCAAAGATTTTTTGGTGCTCACGACCATTGTGGAGTTGATGCATGGCAAAACAAAATATCGTATAGTCAAAACTAGTGTTTTGATTACTTTTTGGCAGTTTTCAAGAGAATGCTTCCAAAAGACAATAGTTTGCTGAAAGATCATAAAAGTGCGCAGAAGTTGTTGAATGGTCTCGGATTGGGTTATGAAAAAATTCATGCTTGCAAAATTAATTGTATATTGTTTTATAAGGAGAATAAAGCGTTAGATAAATGCACGTATGTAATGAGTCGAGGTTAAGAGGGTGGCAGCAATGGTGTGGTGGGGTGAAGGTGGTGGCTGCTGACACACCCTAACCTGGAATGTCCACTTGGACTCCGAATTGATTTGTGCTGGCCGACACCTGGATGGTGATGAAACCATAAGGTGTAATGTAGTGCGAAAAAGATGTGAATAAATTTAAACATAAAAGTGCCTAATCAAAAGAGTGTGCGGGTGAGCAGGATTAAACCAATTTCACACTTGATGTCAGAGCATAAGATAGTATAGTAAATAGGATGAGTGTTATACCACTGAAGATAACCATCTCCTAAGATTTGCCAAAATCCTCGTTTACACGTAAGCACAGCTACTAAACCTAAAGAGGTGAAAAATAAAGTTGAGTGGGTTTGCAAAACAACGTTTATAAGAAAACCTTTATTTTCGAACATAGTAACCCCTCGTTGTACAACAAGTATGGTTTCCAGGAAATCATACTACATGTAAGTATGAAAATCAAATGCATGTCAAATGTAAGTCCAAAAGTATGCCACATCATATATTCTTAACAACAATATAGATATGATTATATGTTGGAATCTATACTGACATGTCAGTCGGAGTCACCTAATGTGACTTGTACAACTGCACATATCGCTCATCCGTCTATGCTAACACATCGAATCGGAACTGCCTAGGGCAGTTTGTACGACAAACGAGGTGTGATAATAATGCTCTAGTGTTGCGATCACATGAAGCTTGCGCTACGCCCAGTCATCATCTAGTCGGAACCACCTATTGTGGTCTGTACGATAAGCTAACACCTACTTGGATCCAAGACAAGCGTGCGATGCCGGGAGGGGGAGTGAACATACATGTGAAGGCTAGCTTGGCCTCTGGCTGAGCACTTACCTGGGGTGTAGCAATGATGAGCCGACTATAGATATGCATGCCAATAAGTCTCAATCATTCACTCAATCACATAACCTTACCTAAACTTACCTGCACGTCCTGTTCCCACCTTAACATTTCAAACCATTCACAACAATCGTGTGCATGTAAAATGCATATGGGTGTGCCATGATATTGAGTAAAAACCCAAAACATAATATAACATTTTGAAATATAAAAGTCCTGGCATAACATGCGTAATTCATTTAAAACGTTTATGGAAACTATAGCTAAGTATAGGTATAAAAACAAACCGCTCACTCACAGATACACAGTAGAAACAAAGTCTCCGAGCCTTGCTTGATCTCGTACGTCCTCAGGATACGTTTCCCTTAAACGTGAAATTACTAGTTCAATTAGTTTAATAACACATACGGAAACTTAAATAAAACCTTCGTAGATTGCTCAAACATAGGGTTTGAATATACAAAATCGATCTACTTGATGTCATGGACCCACACATGTCGGCCACACGCTGGTCGGAGGCCGGATGTGCCGCCACAAGTGGCTGCATTGGTAGCCATGCGCCGCATGCGCCGATGACCCATGTGAGACCACGTGCACCCACGCGCCTACGAGTACAGCTGTACTCGCCTTTCTCACGAGTTCCTGCATTTTGCAGGTTGAAGGTCCAAGTTCCAGAGCTCCTAACGAGCTCAATTCTAAACAATTCTACAAAGACCAAATTAAAGCTAGGAATGTAATGAATCGATCCATATTCACAGAAAGTTCAAATGTGGTTCGTGTTGTCCAGGAATTTGGCCTGAAAGTGGCCAAATGGCCATGGTCAAAAATTTCGAGAAATCAAGATTTTTCATCCCAAATTTACTTCTCATATTACCAATTGGTATTATGGTAGAACCTTAACTTTCTTCATGGTAAATACGGTTAGCAAATTTGTTAGTATTTGGTTAGACTTGTTAGACTTTCTATTGTAAAAACAGAGTGTGTAATTTGAATGTAGTTGGCTAATAGGCTCTTGCCTATCACCTGTTCGATCCTATGCGTCAATGAAAGTTAGTATTAAAACAAGTGATCTTGGATGCCAAGTGTTCGAGATCAACTATTTAATGGATTGCTCAAGTCAGAGATTTAAGAAAGGTTTTGTTTTCAGTCCTCTGTGATATATTTAGAGTTTGGGTATGATTCGGTTCTGAATTCTTAGTTCAATTGATCTATGACCCCTTCTTGGCTCAGGTTCCTGCCACTCCAATGGAGGAGACTGCTGTTCTTGAAATTAACAGGTCGCGACTAGGTCCAAAGTTGTTGTAGTCATAGTCCATCAATGGCTTCCCATCCTCATCAAGGTATGGATTGTCTTCATATCACACCTTACTCATTTGGGTAGCTACTGCCATGTTGTTGGGTGAAATTGGAAGAGATTAGAGAGACATTGAGCTTCGGTGCCTTTGTCGGCTTCTTGGGTATATTTCTTCCTTGGTGTTGTTCGCATATCAGCTTTCTGAATTCTATTTTTTGTGACTTTGATCAGTGCTTTATTCTCTGGTGTGGAGGAAAGTTCAGAACTTTATGCAGTCCAAGTGTTTGACGAAATGCTCAGCTCAAGTTTGTTTGGTTTTTTTTTTTTTTTTTTTTTTTTTTTTTGTGTTGGTTATGTTTCCTCACTTTCTCTGAATTCTTTGAAGAATTGGAATGATTTCTTGCTGCAATTGTTTATGTGACTTGTGAATCATCTTTTCTAGGTTTCAAATTGTTTCTTCTGATATTGGAGTTCGATTTTGTGGTGAATTTTGGTATTGAATCATTCTTTTCAGTCAAGAATTCGTAAATGTCGAATTTTGGAAAATTGAAGGACTTTTAGGCATTTAATTGTGAAGCTCAACTATAAGAGTTCTACAAAATGGTTCTAATTGAATACCAAGATTTCTAAGGCAATATGTCGTGTTTGATATCTTTTCGGTGCTCATTGTCGTATGACTCAGAAAGTTTTGCAGTATCCAATTCTTGTTTCTCTGCTTCATTAATATTCTGCAATTCTGTTAAGGAGTTTGTGCAGTATTTTCTCCTTATCACAGCCTATAATGTCAAGTCTAACCAGCTCAGTTGTTAGTAGGTATCTACTGTAAGTCCGGTTATACGTGTCTTTGAAAGAGATGAAGTTTGAAGAAGTTGTTGACTTGATGGTAAATCCCACGAAGGGTAATCCCATGTTATGAGTAGGTAAATCCCACGAAGGGTAATCATACATAGATGTTGAATTTATGTTGTTGAAATTGTGAAGGCCGATACCATTGTTAGAGAAGTTGTTCCTGGTAAAATCGACAAAGTGCAATCCTGCGGTATCATAGTTAAGGCTGATGCCACACTATAGTTTGTTAATTTTCTGTTTTTGTAAACATTAAAGGCCGAAGCCAATGTTGAATGAGATTGTTGATAGTAAATCCCACGAAGGGTAATGCCGTAAAAAGTTGTTATACCGGCATGAGGGTGTGCTACGACTACTTTGTAGAAGGTTGTTCTTGTGTGAAACTCATGATAGAGGTAGAGGAATACATGGTGTCTATCTATAAGGCAATGGAAGAAATTTGGATTGTTTTCACATACGAAGGTTTTTGGTCAACAGCTACAAGAGGTCATGAGGTACACCTTGTTTGATTTAGGGCTTTAGGAAAGCTAGAAGCTTCGATGATATGGTTTTAGTATTTTTTGGCATTACAGATGATAGGCCTTGTGGATGCTTACTCTCTGTCGTATGGTCGTGTACAGAAACTAAGGATGAGGATAGGGTGCTTTCTTGTTTGTAGCAGGCTAATCCAAAGTTGGTAACTCTAGTCAAAGTGCTACATATGTACAGATGTATGGGTATCATTTCAATGGTGGTTTTCCAAGTCTACAGTTTTAGTGCTATCATGTCTCAATACTTCCAATCTCAAACTGGGTTTCTCTAGTTGAGATTGAGGGGGAGTATTAAGGGTACAAGTCAGCAATACAGTTAGCAAGTTTGTTAGTATTTGGTTAGAGTTGTTAGGATTTCTATTATAAAAAATAGTGTGTAATCATCATTCTTTCAAGTCAATATACAAGTCTCATATTTCTCTCTCTAAATTCTCTCTAGTTCATCTTTCTTAGTTACTCTTTCTTCTCCATTTTCTCTTCGATTCTCAAATATTTCAATGTAGTTAACAAGAATAAGGCCTATTTCGTTAATGTTCATGAAGTCTGAAAATCAACTAGCTAACAGATGTCTTAACTATAGCAGTCTCGAGCCGAGCATATCATAACTCACTAATCTTGTTTAGTGAAATTTCCTTCCCGTAGAAAAATCATGACAACAAATTATTTCTCATGAAGGATTATAAAAGCATAGTCTTGTGGACGACGAGTTCATATCATTTTATTGTAGTTGGTTCATTGCCTCATGTAGCAGCAAATCCATCACCACTTAAATTTAAAATATTATTGTATATCTCTAATATTTAGCAGAATTCTCTTTGTCGATCAAAAGAAGGTGAAAGACCATTCTAACCTATCAACAGAATTTAAAAATAAGAATCGAAATAAAAGTTATCACCAATATAGTGAATCACGCAGAGATATGGCTGGCGTGCCCAGATGATGAAGAGCTAGGGCTAGGGGTCCAAGAAGGGCGGTTAAGAGTTCAGAATCAGACTTATGGGCAGATGAAGGGCAAAATGAGTCAATGATCAAAAGCTGCAAGGGATTTGACACATTTCTCTCTCCCTCTCTCTCTTCTCTCTCTCTTGTTACCAAGGAGAAGGAAATGAAAATGGGGCTGATCCAATTATCATATGGCGCTACTAACTCTTTGTAATTTGGTTCCAATTCCCTTGTGTGGTTCTTGAACTTGTAGAGATGCTAGTCAATCCATCGTGATGACACGATGCGGTCCCACATTGCTGGAAGAGGTATTACTTGACTGCAATGTTTTTGGTTCTGCACTCTTGAACTGCACATGTGGAAAGGAGGCCAGTTCCTGAATGGACTTCTCAATTTGTTCGGTGTAAGCAACGACGTCGCTTAGCAGCGAAGCAACGGTCACAGCTGGCACCATGTCTAGGAGGCGAACTTGATCTCCACCCACTCCTGCCGCTGCCGCTGCACTAGTCCTAAACATGGATGTGAGGTTGTTGGCTGCAGCTCTTGATTTTGTGATGTGGGAGCTGGCAGCAGCGCATGGCACAGTCAATGTTTTGAGTGCCCATGCTAGCTCTTTCAGTGCTTTGCCTGATTCTGAACTCATCTTCATGCACAGCTCTTGAACTTTGTTGCTTTGGATGTTCAATGGTGTCTGTAAAAAGTTTTAACTTAATTAATGTCATCAAGCAAATTGATTAATTTGCACAATTTCATTTAATATATGTCGTGCAATAATATGAAAATTTGATTAGGTACAATGTATACCTGGATTTCAGAGTTGAGGTAGCCATTGAGAGTTTCAATCCGGTAGGCGCATTGCCGGGTTAAGTTTCCGATTTTGAGATAGTGCCTCCAAGGATGACGGTACCTAAACTTTCCATGTCTAGGCTCCCACCTTGCAAAATTGGCCTGCAAACATGAACGTATAGTTAGTATTGTTAGACATGATGTTTTACTAGACTGATTTAGAACCGTTGATTATGTAGACTCACTTAGTAGGATAAAGCTTTATTATTGTTGTAATGTTAGGTGTTTTAGGATACATACAGCCGACCCCACTTAGTATTATTAGGCATTCTAAGATTCATACACCCGACCAGTTAGTGGGATAAAGCTTTGTCGATGTTGTTGTTCATTATGTAGAATCACTTCTGAATGCGAGATTTTGGTTTAGTCTAAAAACATAACGTATCATATATATAATGAAGATCACTATTTAGAGACTGACCTGAGTTTCTTCACTCTGTTTTGAATTGAGAACACTAGTATATCCTTGCAAATGTGCCCTATTAGATTCTCCATTGCCAGCTACTTTGAAGTATTCATCCCCAAAACCTGCAAATTTTCAATTTTTTTCAACCTTGTGAGTTTTCGCGGCCACATTAATTAGAAATGAAAATTCCAGCAATGAAATATCGCATTCATCAAATAATGTACCTTCCAAGAAGCTCCCGAGCTTTTCAATGTTATTGGCAACTGAATTGTGCAGATCATCACCTGCCCATACCGGGCAAATGAAAATGCACACAAACACAGCTGTGAAGGCGCCTATGAGGATTGTCGACACCCTCTTGTGAGCCATTTCTAGTATCTCCTCTTCTCTGTATCCGGACACCGATATCAAACAGAATGTCAAGATAAAAATGAGCAGTCCATAGTCAAATCTCGCCTTCATCCGTGGAAAGAAGCGTATAAATGTCACCGATGCAGCTGCATACAATGTAACATTCCATAAATTCCCAATTCATAATTTTATGATATAATTTATCGAACGAATACCCTATTTCCTTTTTTCTTTTTGTATATAGAAAATGAATACATATGTTTTTGTGATCAAATTTAGTAATTTTACCTAGTAGAAAGACGAAGATGCCAATGAGAATCGGATGACCTATTTCTCCAGAAATATTTGCCAGGTGATGAACGCCAAATCCTAGAGCACCTGCTAGGAATGTAGCCAAGATCCTGTTTAAACCTCTTCCTAATGTTGCTCCTGCATTATCAATTACAATTGATTCGATTAGAATATCGAACGATTAGACTTCAGAATATCGCTCGAATAAGAAAAAAAGTTGCCCTATAAATTAGCATCTTCTTAATTGGAATTATGAATTAAACTCACAAACAAGAAATTAAATTCTTAGATAACTTAAAATGAAAGAAAAGTGATTTCCGCACTCTTCTTATGATTGAGGAAATCAAATGAGAATCATGCGACACAAACAAGGGAAGTGGTGTACAATGAGAAACTAGGAGTGTGAAAATTACTACCGGAACGAAATTTTCACAATGTGATAATGGTAAGCAAAAACGTACCTACTGAAAATTCGAAGACAACAACCACAGTTATAACAGCCCACATGGTAGTGTCACCAAGACCGTTATAGAAGGGCTGGACGTAATAGAGCAACGACACCAAAAGAACTGCTAATCCAACTTTAAGAGAATGAACAATCCTTCTGGGATCATCTTGTCCAAGCTTCTTTAATTTTATTGGAAATTCCACCACCTTATTCATTACCTTCCCACACAAACGCATCGACCTGACTGCCATTTTCTCCATCATTGCGATTGTTCCGATCACAAATTGCTGGAGATGCCATTTTTATATTTGTGTGCTTAGGAGGATGAAGCACAACACTTTTCTGAGAGAGATTGACTGATTTTCTTGCGCTTTGGAAGGAAGTAGCTAGTTGTTCATATATAGTGAAACAAGATACGTATAAAGTGAGGACGAAGCTGCCTGGAAACCGAGATCAAGTGCGTCTTAGTGAAAATACAGTTTGAAATAAATACACTTTTTTTGTTTTGTTTTTTACAGTATGATATTCTGAACTCTCCTAGGCCATATTTACATTAGCCAACTGGCCGACTAGCCTAACTATCATACTATTTCTATAACCAACTGACCTAACATAGTACGAATAGGTAGATAACTAATAAAAATAAGAAAAAAAATGTGCATAAAGAGATTGCTAACTACCTTTTCATTTTACCTTCTCGTATCTTTCTTATTTTCACAATGTTTATATGATAAGTAAAACTTATCATTCTTCAATTTCATGCCTTCAAAAAACATTTCAAATTAAAAATCGTTAGCATGCTATTGTCATCGACATTAAGATAATTTAGTGCTTAATTAATGTGTAGCTATTA